CGTAAGGATAGTAATGCTTTAACATCAGTGGATCAAGTGCATTTATGTTAAGGGAGAACATGTTTTGAAACAATGCCAGAACAATCTTTCATCTGTGACAGAGCTTATTGAAGTACCTACGTATTGTAGACTTTGAGGCCTCTTGCCAAACAGCGACCTGAACATGACACACACCTGATTTTCAAAGCTCACATAGGATAACACTCTCCCTCTTCATTGTTAAATATTATGCACCTAATGCATATAACAGATACTACTCTCACATATTATATAAGTTAAAAAAAGTATTACTTTGTGCTATACTTATACTACAATTAGGCCAAATTTAATTGCTATGTTATATATTATTTGCAATCTACTCTGTATTACTATTCTGTCTTATATTTTACAACATTGATATAATGCATTTTATATTTTCCATCTCACAAGATCCACTGTATTGCTTGACTTGACGTTATGATCTTATAGTTTCTATTTCTATTTCAGCACATTTTAATACATATTATTATACCTGTACATCTGAGTATTTACTTCTCTACTTGTGTGTACTTGTTTCTGTCTTTGCACTGATGCAACACGTAAATTTTTCATCTAGTGATTAGAGAAGGCTTATTTTGTTGAAGGCCTATGATCGTTTTGACAGCTTCCTTATTGGGAGACATCACTGTCTTCTTTAGAAAAAAGGCTCCATTACGGATTTGACGGAGAAAGTCTTCAGCAGAGCTCCATGTTCTGCACACTGCCTGCATCCTGTCACTTAGAATAACTCTCAGCCACGACAGCTGCAGCAAGTACATGTCGTCTTTAAAGCATTTACTCACAGACGATACAAAGATAACATTAATAAGCATGAGTCAATATTGAATAGATTCATGTCAGGCTGAATCTGTGCTGTTAAGACACTTGAAAGACTTTAAAAAGTGAAGTGAAACTAAAAGCACTCGGTGCTCTGCAGACAATAACAAGCAAACCAACAAACAGCAGCAGCAGGAAGAAGTAACGGAAACAGCTACTCTGTGATCTTACCTCCACATGCGACGTGACAGAAGAGGAGCAAAGCAAATAATTTCTTCATCTTCTTTTTGGAAGTCCTGGTGCTAAAGGGGTTCAGTCAGATAGTTAGAAATAGATACTAAAAGTGGGGCGTGTCGTTGTTATACAGTCTGTGGTCCTTCAGTAGCCACAAAGAGCCTCCTCTTAAGGAATGTGACGACACCGATCAGATGTAATCATGTATATGTCTTCTGAACATTTACTTCCTCCTCAGTCTATAAAAGGAATTAAAAAAAAA